TCGCGATTGTCTTGTGCCGAGATTATCACAATGTGCGGCGCCATACGTTCTCTGAAATCTACATCATTTATGCAGGTAGTTCTATATTTGACTTGCACAGGACATTCTATTTTTCGATTTTGCTGCCAGGAATCTAAATGTACTTTCTAGGCCTGGTACACATGTATGCCCAGTCATGTATGTAGGTGTTTAAAGCGAAATGGTGTACTATTTTAAAGGGTGTAAAAGTAACATAAAGTACAATACCTCGTAACAACAGTACTGCTATATGCTACAGCTGTATGTGTATGATGACCACGTGTTTTTGTTAACGAGATTTCTCTTGGTGTATTGCAGGCGTCTTCACCAGACGAGAAAGCATTTGTGGAGGCCGCGCACAGGTACATCTCGCCTACTTTGGTACATCTCATAACCGTCTTTATATATTTTGACAATTGACCCTAAAAGTGCTTACGTCACGCAATTTCCCATCCATCTCAACATTTAGGCATACAATGTGGGATACATGTGGATCAAATATTCATTGTTTGACAGTGATGTGACGTGAAGATTTATATGGTCAATTAAGCCTATTATTTGGAATTAAATGTTACGTCATAACTATATCAGTATTGACCATTGATCCTGTATACTAATGAACAGGGCTTCTCATGTATAAATTGCCATGTCCATCCTTAGAAAAGGGTCGATCCGCCTCTGATCTGGGATTAATCCAAGCATTTTAGTCCGCTGCCATTTTTTTGGGAGAGGGTTTAATTGAATCTTAGAAAGGGCCCCCCCCCCCCCCCCTCGTGAAATTCCCGACTTTGTTTCTGTGTGAAATAACATTTCTCGCGTTCAGACAGCACTTTTGTTCACAAAAATTGAACCGTTTTAAGACAGGTTTTTAACGGCGTGTTGAAGAATCATTAATACTTTCTTCCTTTTACATTGAATTATTCCCATTTGCCAGTCAGTTCTTCAAAGTAATACGGAGAAGAACTCGGTTGAAGATTGAGTTGTTACTACTGTTCACCGATGGTGTCATGTTGTCTGAAAGACGTTGCTATTCTGCAAAGTGCCATGTCTAAAATACTGTAACGATAACATGTTTATCTCATCACGAATAAAGTCTCAGTAATTTGTATCAATGTTATAGTAACGGTCTTATCAACTAGCTGTTTCATGCAATAACGTTTGTGATTGATATTTTAGATATGGTTTAACATTTCAAGGCACGTCAGGCGAAAATATGCTGGTCAAAATTGGAGATCAAGTACACAGGTAAATATGTGCGGTCCACGTTCAAAATTTGTTTTCTGGTTTAGTGTTTTCCTTTATGTCGTGAAAATTATTAGAGAAAGGATTCGTTTCAATGTATTTCGACAGCTTCGTATGGAGCCATACGTTGCATTCTTTATCATGATTGCCAGTTCTAGACAGCCGTATTCCGGCCATTACCAACAATGGCATTCAGAGTTCGACTGCGCATGACGCGTTCTGCGTCTGCATAAATTACAGTTGAACCATAGGCAGCCCAAAACTGCGTGTAGAATGCACCAAATGCCAATTTATATTAAGCTCGCCCCATTCCTCTGTCATTTGTCGCGCGCCGCAAGCACTCGATGGAAAGCATTGTTCATATATATATATATATATATATATATATATATATATATATATATATATATATATATATATATATATATATATATATATATATATATATATACATTATATGAACAATGCTTTTCATTGAGTGCTTGCGACGCGCGACAAATGACAGAGGAATGGGGCGAGGTTAATATAAATTGGCATTTGGAAGCATTTGGTGCATTCTACACACAGTTTTGGGCTGCCTATGGTTGAACTATAACATGGAGCTGAGACTGCAAGAGTTAGAACATGCATGCCAAGGTACTGAACCGTTCAATCAATTATATTTGTGTTTCACCTCTAGTTGAGTCTCACTCAAGACTTATACAATAGGAAACGTTTGGTGGTCAACTTTACATATATATTGCCGCTTTATGCCTTGTGGAAGCAAGTAAATTTCGTTAAATTGCATATATTTGATACCAAACACAAGATCAATACTTTTAATGAATATTGAACTCGATCCGATAAATGGGAGTTGACCGCCAAGTGCTAAACGTATCACGTGACTGAAACCCAGCTATACAGCTATAGCCACAGTAGAACTGTCATTAAATCATTTTTGTACCAGCATATTTTGTCAAAATAAAGAAAGGTACACTGAAGGAAATGTATTTTCTAATTCAAAGCGTACGGAAACTAATTGTTTTTTAGCAACTTTTTGCATCTTCAAATGATGATTGAACAGTTGAATAATTTGATTTATTATAGAAACATAAGTGTTATATAGAGTTTATTATATAAACATAAGTGTTATATAGAGTTTATTATATAAACATAAGTGTTATATAGAGTTTTTGGCCACTGAGAAAAATCGTGTTAATATAATTTTTGCAAGCCAATCAAAAAGCGCGTAGGAAATATGTTTGACCAATCAGAGAACTTGTTGTAAAAAGCATTGCCATGGATGTTTTATTGTTTTTCAATTATCGCTTTTCAATTGTCGCTTTTCTGTAGAAATTATCGCTTTTCAAAGACAAAAATACATGTATGCTTGGAAATACCAGATTTATTTCTCGTGTTGAACATGATATCTCACTCGTTCGCTGCGCTCACTCGTGAATGTTCAACACTCGAAATAAATCTGGTATTTCCGCGCACCATGTATTATTCTCTATATCTTCTCCAGGTTATAGTTTCAACTGCAATTTAGAGCAGAACGCTTGGATGTGCAGTCGAGATACTGAATTAACTATAGAAATTTGCCTTGATTTCATCTTTATGAATGTTATACAACTTCGCTGTAAGGTTACAGCATATTACCCACGCTAAATGATGTTACAATTGAAATGTGTACCATCAATGATAACTTTCTTTTATCGTTTAGTTATAAACTGCTTCATGTTCTGGAGTTTGATTCCACACGGAAACGAATGAGTGTGATTGTCAGTGAAACTGATGGTAAGAGATATCGTATCTTAACGAGAGGGGTGGGGGTATACTTGCATGGTGTTGTTCTAGGGTCATAGAGAAGCACAGACATTACTACGGCACTCATAGAAAACGTGTGCGCCGTTGGCATCAATCATCTGCACCATAGCACAGGGCTGGCAAAACTTTCTAGGAATGCAAGAGAACATTAAACATTTTCTGCAACTAATCATGTAAATTGATACTCGGACACTGTAACTGATTCGAACAAGTTGTCAAACTGAATGCCATGCTATAGTTTTTCGAGTGACATATTTTGTTACAACTTGTTGGTGAGTGTGTTTCTTGTTTCAGAACCATCCTCAGAGATACGAAAAACTAGTTTCATATTAATCTGACACTGCAATCGAGCAACGGAAAATTCGTTGGCTCGAGCGGGATTTGAACTCGCATCTTCGGGTATTTAGACCGCCGCTCTACCTATTGAGTTATCGAGTCAACAGGGATTGGTAGCGAGTCTTATCCAATTTTAAGTGCACGAAATATTTTCGTTACGACTTAACGCTTGTCTTGGAGGACGCGCAGTGTTTCAATTCTATTTCAGAACCATCCTCAGAGATACGAAAAACTAGTTAGCTCAGTAGGTAGAGCGGTGGTCTAGATACCCGAAGATGCGAGTTCAAATCCCGCTCGAGCCAACAAATTTTTCGTTGCTCGATTGCAGTGTCAGATTAATATGAAACTAGCGTTTCTTGTGATGTACCAAATAATAGAGGGGGATTGTCATTAGCACTATATTTTACTGAATGTTTATGTCATGCACTAATGAGCAAGTTGTTTCAATTTCTAGGAACAAAAGTGATGTATTGTAAAGGTGCTGAAGTAGCAATCTTAGAAAAGACGATTAATGGACCAACTGACACTACTCTCTCTCATATCAACAGTTATGCCGAGGTTTGTGTGTAATTATATTTTAAACCAAAGTCAGTTTATTTGTCGTGATTATTAGAATACGAGATAAACGAGACAAAGTTCACACGAAGAATGAATCATTTGTAGGAATGCGTTATTCGTACTTTTGCGGTTGTTGTATTTGCAGGTATTTCTTTCTCGAAAGTAGAAAATTTCACAATTGTCTCTCTGCATGTAGTTCAGTTGGTTAGAGCTCAGCGCCAGAATCACAGGGCCGCAGGTTTGATTCCTGTCAGAGGGCCTTAGTTGTATTTCTCACAACTGGTCCTGGTTAGGTCTAATAAATGAATAAAATTCACACTTGAAATTTCCATCTACAAAATCCTTCAACAATAGACCTTTCCCCTTTTAAGTGAAATTTTGATCTAGACAAAACTGATTATCAATTTCTCATTTGTAATACAAAATGACTGAAAAACGGCAAACTTCGCAAGGCTATATTATCCACATTTTACAACATTTCGCAACGAAACTTCGGAATATTACTAATTTTGTGATGCTCTTTCAAGCTGTGATGAAATTTTTGTCTAGACTTGTCTAGATCAAAATTTCACTTAAAAGGGGAAAGGTCTATTGTAGTTCTATCGAGTGAGATGCCCAAAATCCTGAATATTTCATGGCGGTTTCATGGCTAACAATTTCATAAAAATTTCATGCCTGAAAATTTCAGGAGCAGTGGGAATAATTTAAGTCGCTGAGCTAAAATTATGCATGGCAATGTTTATTGTTCAAATGTGATGAGTAGTTGTGTCAGAATATGTTTGAAATTATATGATTGGCATTGGTAATTGTATAAAATGCTTGTATCTTACAGAAAGGGCTGCGTACGTTAGCAATAGCCAAGAAAGTTATTCCGCAAGATGAATACGAGGAAATGAGTAGAAAGGTTTGTCCTAAATTATCATGAAACTTGATACCAGATGTTTACTATGGGGTAACATATATTATTTCACTTTATTCATTACGAGAACTGTTCTAAATTATCATGAAACTTGATACCAGATGTTTACTATGGGGTAACATATATTATTTCACTTTATTTTTTGCGAGAACTGTTCTAAATTATCATGAAACTTGATACCAGATGTATAATATGGGGTAACATATATTATTTCACTTTATTCATTACGAGAACTGTTCTAAATTATCATGAAACTTGATACCAGATGTATAATATGGGGTAACATATATTATTTCACTTTATTCATTACGAGAACTGTCCTAAATTATCATGAAACTTGATACCAGGTGTGTACCATGGGTAACATATATTATTTCACTTTATTCATTACAAGAACTGTTCTAAATTATCATGAAACTTGATACCAGATGTATACTATGGGGTAACATATATTATTTCACTTTATTCATTACGAGAACTGTTCTAAATTATCATGAAACTTGATACTATGGGGTAACATACATTATTTCACTTTATTCAACGAGAACGAGTTGGAAAAAAGTGCGGCGAAACATTTAAAGTTTGCTTTCTGCAGTTTTGTGCTTATAGTGTCAGTTGAATTTGCATGAGACCTGTTGCTTTTAATTTTGCCAAACACCGCAGTTCTATTCCAGGCACTTCCTCCAGCATGGTAACACTGGATCTCTAGGGATAAACGTTTTATAGAACTGATCAGAGGTGGAGATAATCTGGGGGCCTTGGTCCCAGAAATTTGGGGGGATCTACATTTTTGCAGAACGTTTCACAAACATTTTTTGATGTTTGATAGCTAATTCTGAAAATTACACTAAATGTATATCTAAATTACATAATCGATACCTAAAATACAGTGGAACAGTTAGAATGAAAATATTTGTAAAAAGCGCTCTAACTCTTGCTTTTTATACATGTAGTTATTTATTCAAAATAACGCAACGTAAACCTTGCTCAGTTGTTGTCCGAGCACTCGAAGAACGCGAGCACCTAACCTAGCATGAACCGACATTAACCAATGATCTTTATACAGCTGTATCTTCATTTCATTGCTTAATATACAGCAGTAATTTTGTTTTTAATCCTGTGGGACTGTAACTACTAAGACTACTTCAGGATTTATCTTCTACTGTATACCTTGTCAGTCTTAAAGACCATGTAAGGTAAAAAACACAGTCAAAAACGACAGTTTTGTTATTGTTCCCTGTATGTTATAAACGTTTGCAGAAAATGTTGAGCCCTAAACCAAGGTTCCCAGAAAGAATAAAAAATTATACCTCTTGAACTGATATCTGGTATAAATAATGATAGATGAGTTTAGCTTGACTAGCTATATGATTAGCTGTCTGCATGTGTGGTCCAAACTTTCCTTTTCTTAAGTTCAAGTTTGATTTGTACTTTGATAGTTAAAAGAAGCAAGTGAAGCTATCAGTGAAAGAGATGAACAGGTATTATTTTGTTTACTTGATTATAAAGTTGACGTAAGTCCTAGCGTGTATTTCCAATGTGTATTTCGTGTGAGCTTAATACTTTAGAATGCTTAAGACATTAAGAGGAAATATTGTTGTATGGTATGTAACACGCGCTTCAAAATTTTTATATTTCGATACGTTTCTCAAGCGGCAAACAAACTTGAAAAGTATGTTTAGTCCTTTATCTGTAAAATAATGAAGAGATTTTAGATGGTACGCCAAAGAGAAAAGATGATGTCTGAAGTTCAGTAAGTTTTGCTTATATTGCTGTATAAATATGGCGTCAATTTTACAGCATTAATGATAATTGTATTTAAATTGACAATATTTAACTATTATTTTGTGTTTCTCAACCGCCAGATACATTTAAAAAAGGTTACTATAACTGTGTAAACTACAAAATAAAGCTAAAACAAAGTAATTTTGAGAGGAACGCCAAAAAAGATTTTAGGTTTTGAACACTTTTCATCGCAAATACGCGACAATTACAAACAAACAAATATGCCCGATTTCCTCTTCTCAGATTGCTTTGACACGATTGTGTTTATAGATCACTTATAGTCGTGCATGTTTACACTCCAAGCTTTGAATTGGCTTGGCCATATATCTCTCCCGCGCATGAGGCCAGTCCACTGACCAACAATTTTACTTTCAGCTTGCGAAAGTTTACGAAGAAGTGGAATCGAAACTGACGTTGATAGGAGCAACTGGCATCGAAGACAGGTTTGGTCATGTTTTTAATGTTTGAAAATGAAAACATGAATTAGTGTGGCAAAATATCAGCGAAGTAAAGCGAGGACCATGTCCAATGTTTAGTTTAGTATCATTGTGCAGACTAGTGTTCATAAGTATAAAAAAGTAATTCGCCAAATTTTGGCTTGTCTGTCATTTCCTTCTGATTGGTGAAAGAATCAGGGTAATATATCGATCGTCTAATGTATTTTCAAATTTGGAAGAAGGAATTTCGTTTCCTTTTCACGAGTTTAACTATTTTGCGGGCTGCGGGCAGAAAAATGCGGGCTGCGGGCTAACACGATTGCGAGCCGCGGGTCTAGTTGCAGGCCCAAAAAAATATTGTCAAAATGTAAAGAAAATAACAATATTATTCAAAATTTTCTGTCTTTGAAGTATATTCTATGTCTAATGCTATTCGTAATCATATGCATATGAATTTTTCCTTAAATTCATTCTTTTTGTAATATCATGGAATCTCAGTTTATGAGTCGTACCAGACATTAAAGTTTCTGCCGGGATAACTGTACACCAATCCTAATCAAATTTTCTCGAAACACTGGACCCACGCAAAGCCCTGAAATCATGTCGCATGAAGTCCGTATAAAAAGTGAGTTGGACATTTTTGCATATGGTTCCAAATTCTTTCAGTATTGTGTGACGTCATCAAAAAAGCTGCCAAATATATTTTTGTGTGAAATAAGTTTGAAATAACAAGGAAACCAAAATGCCATTTTAATCGTAACGTAAAATCATATAAATAAATAAAAACTTGGTAACAAGCAGCGAGTCGGCATTCTTACTGTAAGTATATACATAGACAGAAACAATCAACACATACAGGAAAGTATATCTCGACTACAGTCACAATCACGTTCCTATCCAGGGAAATATTCCGAAGCTTTAACTGTTTTCTTTATTTGGAAGGTATTACATGAAGTACACTACAGGAACCCAGATTCAAAGTAGGCCAAAAACCAGTGAAATATGACTGTTCTGTTCATTGCATGAACGGCCACAATTTGATACGGTTATTTCCTACTTTCTTGTGCACAATAATAGTAAGAATAAGTTTGTGAACGGGGCCAAGGTCAAATAGAAACATATTTGTGAACGAAATAGGGAGAAAGAACTTTTATGTGCATCTACTGTAATAAAAGGCAAACATGGGCACGTGGTTATTGGGCAAAGTGCAATAAACAACACAGTTTGTTCCCGTTAGTTCATATATACGCTAGTTCTTGCTGTTGTTACCAAATGTTTAATATTTAGAACTGTTTCTAGTCACAATATTAAGTGCTGTTTCATGCCTAAACTGCGAATTTCTATTTTCATTGAATTTTGTCGATAATTTCATTAAAAAATTAGTTAGGCCAGCAATTTGGCCCGCGGCCCGCAATTGTTTTAACCCGCAGCCCGCATTTTTCTGCCCGCAGCCCGCAAAATAGCTAGACCCCCTTTTCACAACGCTTTACGAGTCATATATATGAGCTGCTTTAGAAGCAAACTTGATGCAAAATGTGTATCTTAACGAGCCTTCTAGTTCATGTCACAGCAATTGGACAGAATTTCAGAACCAGATCAAGAAAGCTTATTAATTAAGATGCACATACTGTAAAAGAATATTTAAAAACCATCACAATTATGAAAGTGTTCTGCAAGTAAAATATTGCACGCTTCAAATTATACGAGTTTTGACGCATACATTAATGGATGTACAATTAAATGTATAACATTGTACAGCACATCTTTTCTTTGACTCTTATCGTACTAAGTGTATTCATACTGTCTTAGGCTTCAAGATGAAGTAAAAGAGACTATAGTTTCTCTACGAGACGCAGGAATGAAGGTAAGCTTTCTTAAATGACTACACTGCATTTTGGCGTTGTGGTAACACTCCCAGAGTTGTGTAGAGTTGTGGTTTTTAGAAGTACATCTCCTTAGTGTTATTTTTGTTGCCAGTGGATGGTAATAATATTTTGTATCTTTAGGTCTGGGTATTGACTGGAGATAAACACGAAACTGCTGTGAACATCAGTCACTCATGTGGACATGTTCAAGTAAGGAAATATTTCTGTTTTACGAAATCATATTGAAAAATTTTCAAAGAAAGAGAGTTGTGTATAAGAAAGGTCTTAGTTTGCTCAAGTTCCCATTAAGCTGGCGATGTACTTTTTTTCTATCGGAGTAGATTTTATTTTTGTGGGTGTGGCCAATCTGTGACCAAATCCAGCTAGCTCTATTTGACTTTTGGAATTGGCCTGTGACTCTTGCAGAATTCTTAATTTCTTAATTCAATTAAGTTTTGTAATTTTGAATTTGGAGTCAACTCCTTGTACTCTGAAGGTATAGCGTCGCTCCAGAGGGCAGAGTGGGTATTTAAACATTTTTGAATTTAATTTTTAGGCTGGCATGGACGTGTTGGAAATTGTGAGAAAGGATTCAGTGCATGATGTGCAGCAGTCCTTGCACAGTTTCAAGGAAAGGTATAACAATGTCATGTACCTTTATACAATGTCATGTACCTTAAGTATCAATGAAACTACTATAGTCAAAAACAACGGGACAATTATAGACAAGTTGCATTTTTGCTGTCTTATTGGACATGATAAGATGGGGAGCTATCCCTCGGTAGCGTGTCCTTTCCCCGAGCTTGTTTTCCCACTGCTTCAAATACTTAATGGCGCCTTGTATGGAGATATTTAACACAGAATAACCTGAACTGGTGTTTCGTTACTGAGACTATATCTTCACAGTGGACGCTGGTGTGGTTTGAAAACGGCGTGGAAAAGTCACAATTAGTCACAATTAGTCGTCGCGTTCACACTGCGCTGGAGCGAAATTGTTTGAAAACGTCACTTTTGCCGTAACAATTCGAGCACGATTTCTAAACGGAGCGAGATGAAAACCGGGTCGCTTGGCGGCTTTGTATCAAACACCGTTACTTTTTTGTACCGCTTACAAACCAAGCATCTCAGATCTCAAAACAGTAAATTCGAATGCTTTTTCGTTTCCTTGCTCTGTTTGAAATATTTTGGATTTACATGAGTGCATGCTAATTTATTTTGTAAAAAAAAACGTTAATGGCGTCGTGTGAACACACGTAAATTCTTCCGGCATTATTTGGCTCCAGTGTGAACATAGTGTGAAACTTATACTGTCCATTGTTGCTAGATTATCAATTGGTCACCAGGACAAAAAGTTTGCTTTGGTAATAGATGGTTCCAGTTTGCGTCATGCTATGGATGGAGATCGAGGTAATTACGGATAACATGAAAGATACCATTGCAAAAATTAGAGAATTATAAAACCAGAAGCTCCATTCAGGCCTCGAACTTAGCGGCGGCCATTGGCTGTCGATGTCGTGCTCGTTGGCCGCTATGCCGTCGTAATAAACTGAAATTCGCGGTCAGTAATGGCCTGCGCTCAACTTCAGTACTTTACAAAATTGACAAAAAATTCTTGGGTTTCATATGACGTCACACGTTAAAATATTTTCATAGTCTGACATTTTAAAAAGCCTGTGCGAAGGCATTTTAATTTTCCGTGCAGGATTGTCTGATCAGTGCTAATAATATGTGACTTGTTCAATTCACACGCCCTTTTATATACCAAAGTGTCGTGATCTGATGACTCGTTTTGTGTTTTCCAGAGTTGTTTATTTCTGTGTGTCAGGGTTGTGTCGCAGTTCTTTGCTGCAGAATGTCGCCATTACAGAAAGCACAGGTACGTTTCGCTTTTGTAACTTAGATCTTAATATCGAACTGTAGGTTTGCAAAAGACACATACAGTCAACTAACGTTTGTTTGAGAGCCTCTTTTAACACTTCAAACTGAGCGTGGTGGCAATGTAAACCAAAAAGAGAAGAATAACTCAGTTAAGAAGAGAGTGTTTTAGAATTCCCATGACCGGACCTCGTCTAGCGGATGGAATAATAACAAAAGTTGTGTTTAAAAATGATGAAAACTTGGGTGTATCCCCATGCAGACCCCCTACCACTTTTGTAGTTCACCACAATCTAGCAGCGTGAGCTCCACCTTTCAATTTATTAAATGAATAAAGTGGTACTTCGCGACGCATATTGAACCCCAACCCTAATCTAACCCCTACTCTTACCCTACCCCCCCCCCCAATCTGATTTTGATCTGGTCCTAATCTAACCCTAAACTTGACGACCTTTTTCTTTTTTTTAATCTATCCAGCCCCGGCGCAACCTTATACCTCCTTTCTAAGGCGATTAACTTTATACCCAAACGTCTTGTCTGAAGGCCGAGACAGACTGGACGCGATTCGACAACGCGGCGCGATTTTTCAGTTTTTTAAAGTCAATAAAACAGCCAATGAAAGGAAATTTTGAAAGATATGTAGACCCAATAACTCAAAATGTTATAGCGCTTCTAAATATTTGGAAAACTTAAACCAGGATCAAACTTATCGGTCAGTGAAAATTGAAAAATCCCGCCACGTTGTCGAATTGTGGATTTGAGTGGAGTCGCGAATTTATTGTATGAATAGAGTGTATAAGTAACGTGTTTAACATTCATATTAATAATAAATTCAAAGGTCGAGCTCACTTTGCATCCAGGTAGGGTCCCTTCTTCTCGATGGCCTGGATAACTCACATGCCCAGTTTCTATTGTTTCAGTTTATGCAACAACACGAGGGTCGTAGTGTATGCATGACGCCCTATATTGAAAATATTGAACATACTTGAATTTATGACACTCTTCCAGGTTGTAAATTTAATAAAGCATTCAAGCGAGAAGCCAATAACCCTGGCCATTGGTGACGGCGCTAATGACTGCAGTATGATCCAGGAAGCTCATGTTGGGATAGGTGTGATGGGAAAAGAAGGAAGACAGGCTGTTAGAACGAGTGATTACGCCATTGCTAGATTTAAATATCTTCGTCGGGTCTTGCTGGTTCATGGTCATTTGTATTATATAAGATTGGCAACTGTTGTACAGTATTTCTTTTACAAGGTAAGTTATTCATGTGTTATGAACTAATAAAGACTAAAGAAAAGAACATTTTAGAAAAGAAATGAATTAAACGGGAGTTTTAAATGTCATCTTCGCTGTGTATACAACGGCAAAGCCCGTATTTCTTCGTCTTGTGTACAACGCATGCAGTTCAAGCCGCGAGAAGTCGAACTCATCGAATTAGCTCAGTACTGAAGTAGATCATATTGAAATCCTGTCTTTACCTCCTGAGAGTGAATTAATTTCATACAATACACGCTTCCGGAAAGTAGGTCACCTTGGCTATAAAGCCTCGCTTTCGTGATTGAGACGTTAGGATTTAACGAATGTCACATGCACGACATCGAGGCTCAGAAGCCAAAATGACGAACTTTCTGGACGGGTGTAGTTATAGTACACGACAAAGTTTCTTCACAATCATTTATTTGCGTGAGTTTGTTTTGCCGTCGCCGTCCTAAATCATTACGTCTCTCTTTGCATATATAAAACTCGTTCTATTTTACGAAAATAAAGATAAAACTACTTGGCAACTCTTAAATGGTAATTAATTTTAAACAAAGTTTTATTAAACAAGGCAACTCCATTTAGCTTTTCATCTTTTTAGAATGTCGTCTTCACTATTCCACAATATCTTTATGCATTCTTCAACGCTTATTCACAACAGGTGAGTTGACTGAACAAGAAGAAGTTTATTATTATAACGATTTGGAAGTATGTTGAAAACGAGCCGCCATTTAGTGAAAAAAACCATAGTGACCCAAAAATCAGTGGTATTAATTAATTTCTGTTTTATAACATACATGCCACAACTCAGTTTTACGCGCGGTCCAAAGCGGACCACGCACGTAAACAATGCAGGCTGAGTAGTAGTATGTATTTTATTCAACAGAAATTACTTAATACCACTGATTTTTGTGGTACCTTATGGTTGACTACCGCGGTCAAGCAATATTTCAGCTTGCCTGTGTGGACACATTCAGAATACCATCATCTTGCCCCACTATCCATAGACGTAGAGCATCGGTTCATTATCGTAATGGAGCTCACTGTGCCGACAAAGGAAAAAGTCGCATCGCGCAAACAAATTCACGTTTATAACAACATTTGCCATTATTTTTGTGCGTGGCATATGATTCAGAAATGAAATATATTTCTTACTTTGTTTCAGACATTATATCAAAGTGTGTTTTTAACAACGTTCAATATTTGCTGGACATCGTTACCTATTCTTTTGTACGGAATATTCGAACAACACTTGCGTCCTGACACTCTTAAGGCGCAACCAGTTCTTTACAGGTCAGTTTTTGTTTACATATCAGCAGGGGTATCAGAATTATTCTGAGTAGGGGGCTGTGTTGATAATTATAAGTAGGTGGTTGTGTTGATGATGTAGAAAGGGGCTGTGGGGAGCAGTCTAGGAAGTCTTAAAGTCATCCAAATTAACTAGACATCAGTTTATATTGATTAGATAGCAACACAACTGAGGTCTGGAACCAAATTACAATTTACCACTACTTTCATTCTTCGATATTTTCAAGTTTTAAGATAGCACTCAATTGAAGTAATGTTGAAACATTTTGCAAATGATCATCTTTGAAAATCTCACTCGTGCATGTTTTTCCCAAATTGCACTCGAAACCATACCATTACCTCACTTTACATGTACATACACATTAATATTACGAAGCATTAACGGACATGTTTCCGGAGACAATTTCGATGTAATTTGCAATGCAACAACGTTACATGAATTACATGTCCATCAAGTTGCGAGTTGAAGAGAAAGTTGAACAATTTTCTTCTTTTCGCAATGATTACGTTGCTACGTCTAATGCCTAGCCTATATGTTGCTAGAATGCCTAGCCTATGTTGAAGATTGACGATGTTATTTCATTCTTGTGTAGAGATGTTTCACGCAATAAACGCCTGTCGTGGCAAGATTTTAGTTTTTGGATGTTATCAGGTGGGTGAAGACTGGACGTTGGATGTGGGATCCGTATTTTTATTGTTTTTCAAGCATTTTTAGAACGGTTAAAAAAATCACTATGCCGGGCCGGTTGTTCAAAAATCCGTGACGTAAAACTTTGAAACGATATTTCTAACCACTTATGTACAAAGTTGAAAATATTTTTCCAGAAATCTTGTTTCGATCAATAAAACTTTTATTTTCTGAAGTTTTGAAATAAAGAGCATGCAGAATACGCGAATAAAAACAGCGGGTTAAGTTTAACCCAGGGTTAACGCTAGTCGTACTTTGGGCCCCGGTGGATATACGTACAACAGCACAAGGTGCTATTCATGCACGGGGATCCACGATCAACTACAAGGTCGTTCTAACAAGCCGTCGCCAGGTTTGTGTCCCCACGTTTTTAATATGTTGTCAGCAACTTCAGGGTGCGATAATTCGCGTACTGGAGGTACGCCAATATTACGAGCTGGTACTTTTGTTTTCAACCAAGTAGCATTGAAGTACGCGGTATTCTCGCTATCTGCGTACTTACATTTTGCTGGTACCACATGACCTTTCCAAGCCCAAGGTGAATTCTGTACTGTAATTTAGTCGGTATATGCGTAAGTGCAATTGCGCTCCTTGTTCTAACATGTAGTTTGAAAATACCCTTCAGAAACGTACACTTTATGTACTTTATTTTAAAGACTTATATAAGTACACATTGCATATTGAGTTTGCACAAGTACACGCGGCAATAATCATTGGCGTATATACGAGTCAGCCTACTTGTTGGACAACTCATTGCAAAAATTCCATTACAAAATGTCAAATTCTGTGGGTATGCCCCCCCCCCCCCTCCATGGGGCAAACCATTGACTGGGGAAAATCATTGATTGGTGCAAAACAACTTCATGAGATAGCGACATTGATCGAAAACTATATGACGAATAAGATATTTCCACAAAGCGAAATAATCCTATTCGAAATAGCATGGCATAAAATCCTTGTATTATTTTTTTAGCGGTGTGGCATGGTTTGGTTATATATTTTGGATCATTATTATTTTTTGATGAAGGAATACTTGGTGATAAGGTAATTTCTTGACTAAGTGATCTAATTTATGGTGGGTTTTTTCCCCTAACTATTGTATTTTTGTTTACTTTTTTCAGGCATTTGGAAACTGGTCGTTTGGTCAATTTGCTTATACTATCGTTGTTATTGTTTGTAATCTTAAGGTTAGTCACGTGTTTCCTTGAGTTTATTTTTTCCGCCCATGTGTTCTTTATTACAAAACGTTATAGAAAGCTGATGCAGCTATACGTCGTGTACTTTTGTCGTTGAGGGTAATTTTCCATTCTAAGTATAGTCCCCTTCCTACTTAAAGTAAAGATTTCTATTCCAACTTTCATCTTTTGCTCTGCAAGAATATCTTCGACAGTTATATTTGCACCACAACCTACGTTGACACAGTGTTGAGATTTCTGTGTAACGTTGACACAGTGTTGAGATTTCTGTGTAACATTGACACAGTGTTGAGATTTCTGTGTAACATTGACACAGTGTTGAGATTTCTGTGTAACGTTGACACAGTGTTGAGATTTCTGTGTAACGTTGACACAGTGTTGAGATTTCTGTGTAACGTTGACACAGTGTTGAGATTTCTGTGTAACGTTGACACAGTGTTGAGATTTCTGTGTAACATTGACACAGTGTTGAGATTTCTGTGTAACATTGACACAGTGTTGAGATTTCTGTGTAACATTGACACAGTGTTGAGATTTCTGTGTAACGTTGACACAGTGTTGAGATTTCTGTGTAACATTGACACAGTGTTGAGATTTCTGTGTAACATTGACACAGTGTTGAGATTTCTGTGTAACATTGACACAGTGTTGAGATTTCTGTGTAACGTTGACACAGTGTTGAGATTTCTGTGTATCGTTGACACAGTGTTGAGATTTCTGTGTAACATTACCTGGGGCTTCTGTGACGTAATCGTCAGAGTTCGATTCTCGCTACGGACACATGTGCGGACTCATGTGAAAAGAGTCAGTCAACGCTCTGACGAAAGTCGTGGGTTTTCTCCGGGTACTCCGTGTTTCCTCCCACAGGGAAAGTTGACAGGGTGGGTTACATGGGTAAAAATTGATCATTTTGTTCGGCGTTGTTCAAACAGTAGCGAACAATGTTGTGCTGCATCCCGTGAACAATATTGTTAACAAGTTGTTCAACCATAAGTACTGTTGCAAGTTGTTAACATGATTGTCAACAAGTTGCAACAATATTGATGGTTCAACAACTTGTTAACAATATTGTTCACGGGGTGCAGCACAACATTGTTCGCTCCTGTTTTGAACAACTTGCATCAACATGATGATTTTTACGCGTGTAGGATAAACACAGTTGAGAAATTAATATCACAATTGTTGTAAAGATAAATAATACTTAATGTAATCGGTCACTGAAAAGCCCCAATTGGGAGCGAACAGAATGAAGTCTAATTCTGTTTGTTTCGCAATGCCTGGAAATCCATTATGATATTAGTGACCTCTAGAAATGGCGTCAAGTTAGAGAATGATGGTCCAGGTAAAATGACAACACTGTTCACTAACTGCAAATTTAAATTTCTAATCTTTTTGTGTTTTTATTTCAGCTTGGCTTATTTTCATTCTACTGGACAATCCTCAGTCACATCGTGATTTGGGGATCGATAATTGCATACATTCTCTTCGCTATTATTGCATCTTGCGATTCGTGGTAAGATAAATGTTGACATTCATTACTCTCCAAGTCATGTATAGTTGTCAAATAGTTGTTAATAGCAGTATTGCATGTTCTAAAACTTAGCTAATTGGCAACAGTGAACTCAACCTATTTACCTGGAACGATAACATTCAGTCATTTGGCAGTTAAAAAGTGAAGCTTCGCGTAAGCAACGCGTGAGCAGTGGCGTCAGCCCTCCACACCATTTCCACGCCATATAATACGTCAATTTCACTCCCCTTATACGCCATCACCGCGCAGTCTATCACGAATCATGTCAAGTGGCGTTGGCATTGGCTTCACGTTTCTCCCGCATCTTATTCCAGATAAAAGACATGGAGTTCACTGATTGGCAACTGTATTGCATGTGATGCTTCGATTTTCTTTAATGAAGAACTATATATATATTATCCACTTTGAAACGTCGCGAATAACAGCTAAAATCTTCGCATCCATTGTTAAATTGAATGCCCTTGGAATGATTGATAAAATTATAGTTAATAGATGAAATGGTATGGAAATTCATTAGAATAACAATATAACTCATTATCTATGTTAGTCAACGTTGATGCAAAAATATGATCCTTCACCGTCACGTGCGTATTGTATTTTTGCCAAATCCACCAGTAGCAGTTTCCAATTTACCCTACTGTTCGAGTCACGGATAGGTAACTTTCTTAAAACATCCTATTGGTTAGTTGGACAAAAATACAATGCACACGTGACGATGAAGGGCCATAATTCTGAATAACCCTAACCAATAACATGGATAATAAATTATGTAACTTGTATTGTAATTATAATGCCAAATCATCTCTTCATTGATAAAATAAGATGTAGATGGTGAACG